ACAATTCCATCAACTAGATTTAATTAGGACTATGGGCCATGTGCCTCCCCCCCACCTTAACCTTTTCAGATCTAAAAAAAAATTGTCATTTTTCAAGTTTACAGTAGGCTAAGGGAATACCAACAATTAATTTTTATGCAAAAATTAAACATATTTATTGAGTAATTTAATTCTGACATCACGTGAACTAGACTAATTTCGTACAATATTTATTTTGGATACTAGTATTTTGAAACACTTTTTTAGGTACAAATTTTCTTCATAAAGACATATTACGTGTGCTATTAATGTAAAATGCCTATACATGGTGTACCAATAAAAACTCCCAGGCCGGATATTTTGGTAAGTAATAGAGATATTTTAAATCTGTAATAGCCAGTTCATAAATCGCTAAGAGAGCTGCAGTTTTGGATATAAATTAATATTAAATCAATATGTAGATGACGCTGAACTCAATTTTTTTTTTTTTTTCGATGGATCTTTCCTATATAGCGCGTCTTGTAAAAAGTGCATTTTTATGCAGATTTTGTTCTTTAAACGAATTCGATAAATCTAGCCATTTTTGATAAACAGTGTGGGTCACTCAAAACAGTTTCATCCTGTTTTTCGGCATTAATCATTGGATTCTTAGAAAATGCTAAAATAGGTCTATTTTTATTTCAAATTAAACACATTTTTACAATACAGACATCTGTCATGTGTCAACCCCCTCCCTTCCACTTCTCCAACCGCTTAATTTTAAATAAGGAATGTACCAAGTACGGCACATCATTGAAAAGGTAATTTTATGGGAAAGTCAGAAATATTACTGTTTATTGCGGTACTTTTAATTTTAACGCCCTCTATCTGGATAAAAAAAATCTGTAACGTATTATAAAGTGTAACACTTCATTAGAAAGCTAATTTAATTACTAATTCAATGCACCACATAACATTAATATAAATATTTCCATATTGCACTGGCAATAAAAAAAGTTAGCAATAATGTTTAAAAGAATGCATGACTAATATTCAAACAATTGCAAGTGCAATATGGACAAAATGTTATATAATGCATTTAATTAGTAACTAAATTAGGTTTCAAATGAAGTGTAATACTTTATAAGTTACAGATTTTTTTATCCCGGTAAAGAGGGCTGGCATTAAAAGTATCCCAATGAACAGTTATATTTCTAAATTTCCCATAAAATTACCTTTTTAATGATGTACTACACATTGTAGTGTCACACTCTATAATACGAAATAGTTTTTAATCCCGTTAATTTAAGTAACGCAATATACAAGAATATTTCTGAATCCCAATTAAATTACCTTTTCAATGATGTATCATACATGGTACATTACCTATTTAAAATTAAGATGTTGGAAAAGTGCAAGGGAGGGGGTTGATACATAACAGATGTCTGTATTGTAAAAATGTTTTTATTTTGGAATAAAAATCGTCGCTTTAGCATTTTCTTAAAATCCAATGATTAATGCTGACAAACAGGATGAAACTGTTTTGAGTGACCCACTCTGTATATCAAAAATGGATAGCTTTATGGAATTAGTTCATAGAACAAAATCTGCTTTAAAATACATTTTTTACAAGATGCGCTACACAAGAAATATCCTCCCATCGAAAATATTGAGCACAGCGCCATCTACATATTGACCCATTTAAAATTAATTTATATCTAAAACAAAAGCTCTCTTAGTGCTCTGTGAACTGGCTTTTACAGATTTAAAATATCTCTATTACTTAACAAAATATCCGGCCTGGGACTTTTGATTGGTACACCCTGTATTGTCATTTTACATTCATAGCACACGTTATATGTCTTTCTATGAAGTTTGGATAGGCATAAATAGCAATAATTCCGAGCATCTAATTTTTCTTCTGGTGGAAATGGTACTGGTGCTTCCAGTGCAAGTGTTCTTTTCATCGAACATATTATATCTAGAACCTAAATCCATCTAAAAATAACAGGTTATGACATAGTTATGACACAAAAATTAAAATTTTATCAATACGAAAATTTACCTTAATAGTGAGGTGGAGTCACTGAGACTCCGATTACTAATTAAAACATGTTCACTCTACTCTAGCTCAAAATCCACTATCACTCTACATCAATAAGTACCAACCCAGTATATATATCAATCAGTATTGGCACTCTGAGGCGGCACGTTTGATCTTTAAAAGTAGAAATTTTAGTTGACACTTGACGTTTTCGGGATATGAAAAGTTTTCTTTACACGGACTTGGTATACATGGTTAGTTGAATTTTTGTTCTGCTGCTTTTCAAATTCGTGTGTATGAGGGAGATGTGAGATACCTTAATAGACAACGGTTGAACAACTTAATTACTTTGAAGAAGAAAATAGATTAGATATCAGGGCAGTCTTCGCAAATGTAAGAAGGACAGAACCGTTTTAAATATTTTTATATATGTGAAATATTACTTTTTGGTGAAAAGTTTAATTACTTTTAGTTCAAAATATAACGTTAGTTTGTCAAAGGAAATATATAACACACAAGGTTAGAGTAACAAAATAAAGGTATTGCTTTATTTCTTAAAAATTACTCTAATCTAAAACTTTTCTAGTATATTGTAAAAATTTATTCTATACGTTATTTAGGTACTGCAAAATCTATAGGAAAGTATGTAGTTTTAAATTTAAAAATTTGTAACGGAGACATATTTAGTGTAGTTTTTTTACAAATATATACTCAGTGACTTGTTTTTGTGAATGAGTTCAAGTATGGCAGACTAAAATCGTTATTTTTTATTATGAATTAATTTGAATTTATTTTAAAATGGGAACTATATGTATATGGTTTTCGTAGTTTTTACACTTGTTATAAAAATATCAAAGTTATGTATATTGGCCATTTACTACACACAGCAAATTCATAGACACAATACATATTACTATTTGACATTCTTGTAAAACCACTAATTTAAAATTGACTTTAAACTAAGTGACTACACACAGAATTGTTCGAAAGCAGCCATAAGGTATAATTTATGTATTGGATACTATAAAAAAATTAATAGTAGTTACATGTAGAGTTAAGTAACAAGAAATTTAAGACCAAAAACAAAACAAACCTTTATATCTAGTGAAATTAATTTAGTACAGTCCTCAACTTTCTTAGGCTAACATTAAAGATATCTTTTTGGATCTCGCTAAGAAACTCATTGGTAACAGCCATCATCTTGTTAAAAAGAGATATACTACTTGGATCTAAATCAAATAATTTATTGTTACTTGGGTTTCTTAGATTAATCTTTGCCGCATTAACATTTATATAGTCAATCAATTCACAATCTTTGTACTTAAAATAGAGTACAAAATATATCACAGCCTGTTGCTTTCTTCTTTCTAAAAGAGTTTAATCTTAAAACTATTGAGCATAGTTTTATACGAGATCTTAGGTATAAGGGTACAAGTATTCTTTATGACATAATGGTACCGTAAAAATATTTTTTGTACTTTTTCAATATGATCAATTTGTGTGGCTTCCAAGGACATCCATATTTGTGAAACATACTCAAGATGGAGTCTTACTAAGGCATTATATAATCTGATTTTGGTGGTAATCCTAAATTTTTTTGTATTTCTGATTTAAAAACCTAATGCTTTTATTGCTTTTTTTAGTTATGTGTAAAAAATGGTTATTGAACTTCAAATTAGACTGAAAGACAACTCCCAAATCCTTTACCTCATATTAACGTTTTAATGTGACATCACAGGTCTTATTTCTAATGTAAAACATTAAGAGGCTATGGATCCTTACAACTTAAAATATGCATACGTTTGTAAGTGTTAAATAGACGGATAAAAAGTGTTGATTTTTATTTACAACTATAATAAGAACCCATTAAAAAGATTAAGAGCAATAGAACATTTCAACAAATTTCTATAGGTACACATATTTTTGATACCTGATAATAAATAATATATTTTTTGGAGTAGCAACAGGTTTATTAATACACAACTATTATTTTGTTACAAATATTTATAATTAACATAATAGTTGATATAAGTCCTTTAAAAATAATATATTTTGATTTAATTGTTGAATTTATACATGAGCAATTTTCCTTGTAGCGTTGTTTACATTTTGCAGAGAAATATTGTATTCTGCTTTTAGCTGATAAATCATGTACATGTAAATGGGTTGAATGTAGACAATGTTAATGTTTTTGCTACTACTGCTGGCTAGAAATGCTGGGCTAAGACACCAACAGAAAAAAAGGAAGCACAAAGCACTAGATGTTTTTATCACTTATACACGTACAATTTAAAACCATTCAAGTAACTAGCATGTTGGAAATACTTCACGAAAACATATTAACATAAATCAGTCGAAGGCAATGTATTTTCTTTTTATAACACACCTTTTTAGCTTGATTACTTTTAGTACTCTATTTATTCCAATGTCCTCAAATAAAACGAGCAATAATAAGGATAAAACACACACTGAAGTGTATTTGGGGTATTTTTGATCTAAATGCACTATCAAAATAACAAATTTTCCGTTTTTAAGCTGTGAATGTATTACAAAAACTACTTCGATAAAATGTAAACAAAAGTTTATATTTGTGTACGAAATATGGGTTGCCTGCGCATGGTAGCGAGTTTTTAACCGGATTTATGACAAGTGATAGGTTATATCCCGAAAACGTCAGCGCAGTAAAAGCTGCGCGTCTTTTTCCCGCCCAGGGAGTGTCATGGGCCTGGTACCAACAATGATTTTAAATAGACGAGCATACGCAAGATTCAAGGACACCGGCAAAATGTTACATCAGTTTCCAAACTGTGAGTATTCTGCTTGACTCCACTCCACCGGTTACGGATTTATATTCTGCTATTCGATTAATAACGCGAATAAAGTGACCTGAAAAACACTCTACTCACTCCTACTACTCATATACAATACACGAACCCAACTAATTGCGTCATCCACGTTGCCTGACAATCGAGCATGCGTTTATGAATTTTGCATTCGTCGCGTTTGTGTTTTGTGTTAGTCATTCCGGTTTTTAGGTTAATAAAGAATAAACAAATATTTACATTTGTTATTCAGTTTGTTATCAAACAAAAATAGGATCTATTATAACATAGTTCAATAGATAAAAATCGGTTAATAAAAATATATTTGCATTACCAGTGTATTTTATTTAAACAACTAACAATGTCGGCACAGAAAATTGCTGTGGTAAGTACCTATCTCCTAATTTTACATCAAAACCAGGTAGAATAATTAAAAATGGTTGGTTTACATTTAATTACATTTTTATTTACACGATTAAAAAGTATATAATTAGGTATTAAAAGGTTACAGGTGCAAATAAAGGTATAGGATACCAAATTGTTAGATGACTTTGTAAAAAATACGATGGTATAGTTTACTTAACAGCCAGAGATGAAAAAAAGGTTAAAGATGCGGTGGCCGAGTTAGAAAAGGAACATTTAAAGCCTCGATTCCATCAATTGGACATTACGCAGCAAAATAGTATTGACAAATTCAAGGATTTTATAGCCAACGAGCATGGTGGCTTGGATTTACTAATTAATAATGCAGCCATTGCGTTTTCTGTAAGTTTAATAATAATAATTACGGGTATACATTAGGTCTCTCAACTCGTTTATTTTAAAAAGTAGAAAAAAATGCTTAAACACGTCCATTTTTATATTCATTGGTGTTATCGGTAACAAAGTTTAGTAATTAATATGAATCCACTTCAGGCAAGAAGGGTCGTATGATATTTCATTGAAGGTGTTTAAGCATATTTCTCTACTCTCTTATAATCAATGAGTTGACAAGGAAATGAGATTTAATTCTCTCATGGTTTAATAAAATAAACTCTTATTATTACTGAACATGATGGTGCTAGAACTCACACTGAACAAATTACTTGTACTTCTAGGGTAGTTCAAATGTACCCATGCCTGAACAAGCTAAAAAAACCCTAGAGGTTAACTATTTTTCGACATTGAGATTTTGTGAGGCTATGTTTCCTTTGCTTAGAAATAATGCAAGAGTAGTAAATGTTTCGAGCTCTGCAGGCCATCTCAGTAAAATCCCTTCCGAAGCAAAAAGGAAGGAATTATCCAGACCAGATTTAACTGTACCAGAACTTACAAAGTTGATGGAAAAATTTGTTATGTGAGTATTATTATTGTATGTAATAAAAATATCCATTCAACTGTAACATTGCGTATTATTAAATTAGTATGAGAAACAAAATTATATTTCTTAAATACTAATAACAACGTTCCTAGCAAATAGAAGCACGGTGTTGCGTGCCGAATGGATGTTTGCACATCACACAATAATTGGTTGTTATACGTTTTTCTTTGATAGGCAGATTTGTAAAGGGAATCTTTTTGAAGGTCTCCGAATAGATCTTTTGCCAACTTGTTTGTCTTTGTTGTGATAATATCCTAAATATTAGATCAGTTTGAACACTGCAAAATTGGTATATTTAGACGCGATTGCAGCCAAAGAAATGTTAACTCAATTCAATCATAAACATTTTTTGAATATTGATTCCAAAAGTGCTCTGTCAGTTAGTAGTCTTATTACAATGTTTTTATACATTTTGTAAATAATGTGTGACAATACTTAGAAAATAAAAAGAATGCTTATTCACTATAACACAAATATTAAGCGAACACTAGTCTATCGTAAAAAATACCAGCATAGTAGAAACTAAATGTCTGCAGTTTTACTCGATACTATCTGCCAAACACTGGTTGCGTATGAGGAATCTACTGCAGGAGCCAGCCTTGTAGGACTTGCGTATTAAAAATGTGCACGGGATTTATATTTATATGTAATTCTTAAAATTTTCGAATGCTTGTCTTTCTAGGGTAAATGATTGAATTATGTCCTTAGAACTCATAAGTTTTCTTAATTTTATTTGGAGCTACAATCATCTTAGCGATCATATTTAGTAGATTTTTTTTCATAATCTATTTTTTTTAGAGATGTTCAAAATGGCATGATGGAAACAGAAGGATGGGGATCTTCCAATTATGTTGTATCCAAAGTCGGTTTATCAGCTTTAACTAACATTCAGCAAAGAATGTTCGATGAAGAAATACCTTCGCGAGGAATATCTGTCAATTCTGTTCATCCAGGTTGGGTGAGAACAGACATGTCGGGCAACAAAGGAACCAAATCAAGCGAACAAGGTGCCGCAGCGCCTCTATGGTTAGCTCTGGAAGCTAATTTAAAAGGAAAATATATTTGGGACGATTGTAGTATTGTGGATTGGTTTGCTATAAATACACCTCAAAAACCTGTTTTTTGAGCACATCTATACATAAAGCAGTAGTTCGTTCCTTCCATATACATGTGTTGAGAATAACAATTTTATCTATACATACTTTTTAATTGTAATGACTAATAAATTCTCTTTCGAACTTTGAATGATTTTTTTTTACATAAAACTACAAACTACCCAGCGGTTTAGTGTCAACGTGCCGACGCGATGGATAAATTATCGCAGGAATAAAAGCTGCAGCAAACGTTCCTCTGAGGATATCTAACGACACCCTCTTGTATCTAGCATTGCTGGCGTATACGGGGCTATTTGCTAGTTACAGGGCTGGCCCCAGGGTAGAGCGATCCGGGCGGCCGCCCGGAGCGCAATGATCTAGGGGCGCCAAAATCATGGAAAATTAAAATAAACTGATAAAAAAAAATTAAGCCACGGCCTTTTATAAAATGCACTAAAAAGTAAAGAATATTTTTTTATCATTCATATATATCAATAAATTATTTTTCATAATATTGCATTGTCATCGGACCCTTGTAAGTATACAAAATTTCATTGAAATCGGTTCACGGGAATTTTCTCAAAAACGCGTTGCAAGATTTGACTGATAGTTGACAAGATTAAGAGGCGGCAGGCGGAATTTATCATTTTTATTTCTAAACACATAATTCAAATAATATAATATATTTAAACATTAAGGCAAAATCTAGTTGAATTCAATTCAACATGACAAAACCACTCAACCACCGCTTTTCAAGAATTGACAAGTTTTTCGGCCCGTGGCAACACGACTGTACAGGAAACAACAATTTTGAAACCAAGCGAAACAAGATCTAACAGCCCTTTTTAACTGCATATAAAAAGGAAGTAGACTTAAAACAATGCATTATTTGCCACTAGACTTCGGCTGGTACGAAATAAAATAGTTTGTTTAAATTGTTAGTGCAAAAAAGCTTTAAAAAAGTGCTTGTGCAAATTGTCCAGTGCGGTTGGCTTCTGTGAAGGTGTTTTAATTTTTGTTTTCATTTTTAAAAACTAAAAAATCCATCAGACATAAGCCCAAAAAAGGGTGGGGGTAGATTTCAAAAATTGGAGTTTAGATCAAAACATGGCTTGTGTGGTATCAAATGAAAGTTGATTGAACCTGCAGTTGAATAAAATTTATTTTATTTTTTAAGCTAGTGGCGCACAAGGAGGATCTCAAAAATTAGAGTTTACATCAAAAAATGGCTTGTGTGGTATCAAATGAAAGGTAATTGAGTCTGGAGTTGAATAAAATTCATTTTATTTTAAGTCAGTGACGCATAATGAGGGGGATTTCGAAAATTAGAGTTTAAATCAAATCATGGCTTGTGTGGTATCGAATGAAAGGTAATTGAGTCTGAAGTTGAATAAAATACATTTTTTTTAAGCCAGTGGCGCACAATGGGGGGATTTCAGAAATTATAACTTAAATCAAATCATGGCTTTTTTTTGATATTAGTATTATCTTTTATTTTAATTAATTTGTTCCAGAAACCAAAATGTCTGATGCGAAGAGAAAACCCTCTGGGAGCGAATTTAAAAAGCGGAGATTGAACAAGCAAACACAGCTTCAGAAACAGTCAGATGCGCTGCAGAACTTCTTGAAAGAAGGTAGTTTCAACGCTCCCACAACCGACCAACATTTGAACAACGCCCAGCACCTAGATACTGACTTTCCGGATATGGACCCCCTTTGGACGCAACCGTCAGCATTACTGAGCTAGGTAAGTCATCTCAAACGAGTTTGGCGAGTAGTGATGCAGTTCCGTGCAGTTTCAAAAATCAAAATTGGCAAGTTGTGCAGACCTCAGAGAAACATTTAGAAAAGGCTACCGTCCAAAGTATCTTTTCTGACCCAGGATTATGGCCCGAAATCATGCGTGCAGCAGATAGAGTTTTTTTGGTTAAACGTGGTCCAGCTGCACCTTTGTATAATTTTGATTTTCCTTTTGACAGCGTTGCCAATCTGCCAGTAATTACTGGCATTTGCCAGTAAAAATGAAGCTTTCCAGTAATTTTGCCAGCAATGACTTTGTGCCAGTAATTTGCCAATATTTTATAATTTTCCAATTATTCCGCTAAAAATATATAATATATCGGTTTTTAATTCGAGGCATCATTCTAGTATCTTAGATTGACATTTGACATTCAGAATTCACACCACTGTTGGGCCCGTATTTATAAACAGAACTTACCTGAGTCGGACTTGGGTAAGTCGTCCTTGAACTAAAATTGAATTTCGGTTACAACCTCTCTAAAGTTCTAGGTGGTTCTGGTGTTAGACTGGAATTTAGAGATGGATATTAGCAAATCTGTAACTGTTATCTACATTTACGGATTTGTTACTACAAATCTTTAAATTCACGCGATATAACCGAACTTCGATTTTAGTTCAAGGACGACTTACCCAAGTTCGACTCAGCTGGGTTTGGTTTATAAATACGGGCCTTGGTGGCCAGCGCTGGCCAAACAACTCCGTACCCAAGACCGGTATCATATAGAGAAAGAAGAGAAACAAAAAGAAGAAAGTCGCAAATATAATGTCAAATGTCAATGTCTATGTAGTTCGATGATCCGTAAACTGAAATTTTGTTTTAAATTTAACTTTTTACTATTTTAATAACCTTCATTAAAAACAAAACAAACATCCATCCTGCAGTTGATATTTGACATGACAACTGACAACATACATGACAGTTTTGACAACTGACAGTAAATCTAAAATTTAGTACATTTTTCCTCGAATTTTCTAGTACATTTCTAAATATCTCCGCAGAATGTCAACCTCATTTCAAAGCAGCTAAAGGCCACGCACCAACGTCATTGTTTTCTTTATCTAAATTTACGGGACTTTAATCTTTTTGGCCTGGGCTATTCCTAGGTACTAGAAAAAATTAACATGCTATAT